AGGCTGTGGCAGACTTGATTGACTTTTCTGACAAACTCTTGAGGCCCAGCTGAACTAATCTTCCCACCAAAGTGTTGACCTTCTCATGGTAGGTCTGACCAGTCAGGACAGGATTCCATTCCTCCTTGGCGAGGTACTTGGGCAGTGAAATGGTTTGTGGATTCAAAGTCACCTGAGGCCTTTGCGTTTGCGCAGGACATGTCAAAGTCTTGTCAACCTGTTCTTTCAATGTGTTCTTCAGTGTAGTGCTGAATGGTGAACGCTCATCAATTTGCTTGAATAGTGTCAAGCTATCTGCAGGTGTCAAATGAACAGCCTCAATCTTGGACATGGCGCCCTTCTGCGTGGAAGTCTCCAAGTCAGTGATTGGCACAAACCCCCTAGTTTTCCTACGCCCCAGGAAAGCATTGATGTCTGCAATCTCCTTCCTGATGTCTTCCACTGACCACATGGCCCATCAACACAGAAAGCTTACACACCACAGTTGCAAACGGCTACAATAGTGCACTCACATGCAATTGCGTAGATGAAAACAACACTGCAACCACTGAAGCACTGTTCAGAAGAGCGCATGCACGTACAGCTCTTCAGCTTTGCGCAAATCATACTCTTTATGAACATGATCATGTACATGAACATGAAAGCTTTTCAGCTTGGCACTGGGGGCATGTCAATCTTACGTGGCGTGCAACATGAAAGAGCTTGTTGCCTTAGGTTCATATTAATAATGCATGTCCAAGTAAGATGAAAGCTTCTAGCTTGGTACTTAGACCATGTCGATAATACATGAACATGCAACGTGAAAGCTCTTCAGCTTGGCACTTTGCTCATGTAAATCCGCCCGCGCCGGAGGTGCCGAGGGCGTTGTGTCAGCTCGTGTACATCCACATCGCAAGCAATCCGGCTAGATAAATCCTAAGCTTTAGCTTGGGGGGGGGGGGCGGCATTTTTATCTTAGAAATGCTGTGTTTTTCAATGTTTTTTGAACATTGATCAAAATTGGACCAGACGTTGGTGATGCCGGTCATGCCGGTCGGGCCAGATCGCATAATTGACATCACAGATGTCTCGGGAAGCCAAGGGGCATTGCGAACACACTTACTTAAAAACAACATTGTTGAACTGTTACTGGGGCTCAGCCCCATCGAAGACATCCCATTGAGCCCGCGAGGTGTCCTCAAAGGTGTCGTCCTGTGCCTTCGGATCATGCGGTCTCGACTCACTCGAAAGGGCATCATCGCGTCCTCCTTGTATTCCACCATGCCAACATCTATAGGTGCCACAGTGGGTAAGCCAGCCTGCCGTTGATTTTCCAAGTCCTGAATCATTGGCTCTGAAGACTTCTCCATATCGGCATGCACATAGGCGTTGACTGTATCCCGTAGTTCGCTTGGGATGGATGCCAACAATTCCCTTATCTCCGCCTGCTTCACAAGGTCGTGGTCCCCAAGTGCAGCAGTCTCCGCACTGCGTTTCAGTGGGGATCTTGCCGGTTATGTCGGCCGGGGGAAAGTGCATTACGGACATCGCAGAAATCGCAAACGTCGAGGCAAACCGTGGGATACTGTACGATTGATATCGTGGATGTGTTCGGTCGTGTGCCCAGTCCGACTGGATGAGGTGAATGGTATTGAGCATGTGGTTTTTGACGTTTTTTTGGGGACAATCGCATGTGGCTTTTGACACAGAGACAGAGACAGACCAGACCCAGACAGACCCAGACAGATCTACACCCAGACACACCCAGACAGAGAGACAGACAGACACAGAGAGACCGACAGACACAGAGAGACAGACCAGCCAGCCAGCAGGCAGACAGACAGACAGACACCCACACCGACCGAGACAGACTATTGACATCGTGCGGGTGTTCTTCCGTGTGTCCTGCCCGAACAAGACAGGCAGACAGACCGAGACAAACAGACGCACACACTCCCAAACAGACGCACACACTCCCAAACAGACGCGCACACTCCGTGCGGGCCGAAGTGCTGTGAATAACCAGCTCTTTTCACACTGCGCTTTGCGCTCAAGAACCAGACCTGTACCATCTATAGACAATGCATGGCAGAAACATGTACAGTCTTCTTCACACTGTCTGTCATTATAATAGCACCCTTTCAAACATTTGACACAAACTTGCCCTTTCATTTCATTGTGACAGCACCACAGTAAACCAATCTGGTGATTGTACACAAAAGGTACCTTTTTGGTCTCTGGACCAATACCTACTTCAATCCACCTCACTATGTCCTTGCCCTTCAACGGGCAGTGATGTAGATGGAGATGAGATGAGTGATCACACTCTTGACTAGTTTCATCCACCACAGTCTCTTGGCTCATGGCTTAACTGTGTACACCAGCACAGTAACCAAAGCATGAGTAGAGTTGAAGAGCCACATGCATGTATGCAACGTAAAACCATAAGCAAGGCCCAAGGCTTCATGGACAATGATGTCAGTCAAATAGACACAGACATCTCATGAAGCAGCCACTTAATTTAAACAGGACTCTTGACATGAACTTTTACACATACATTGACCATGAGAGCTGTTGAGCTTTTCACAAGAATCATATTTTTCAGAAACATGTACATGAGCATGAAAGCTGTTCAGCTTGACACTGGGTCATATCAATCTTCACATGAACATTCAACATGAAAGATTAGTTCACTTGGGCACCTACGTAGTTCATATTAAATGAGAGCATTTTAGCGTTGTACTTAGGGAATATCAAGAACACATGAACATGAAAATCATGAAACATGGAAGCTCTCCTGCTTGACACTTTCAACCGGTCTCCTTATTGATGCGGTGTTCATTCACATTTATGCGATGAATACCATCAGAAATTTGTACACCCACTACTGTTACTGTGTATTGCACACAGTGGCAGGGAGAACAAACGGTTCGCGCCCCTTTTCATCAGGCGCTAATGCCCCTCGAGTCGCTAGACATCGGTCGAACCACCAGCACATTCCGACAGTGAACAACTGCAGCCAATGGAACTTCATTTCACAGCGCCCGAAAAACTCTTCTTGGCTGCAGTTAGGTTGATCACTCCCTCACGCAAAAGCTGGAAAAGTGGTTCGGTATTGCCCTCCTTTTTGGTCAGGCAATCTGCAACCATCATTGGGTGTGGCACCCACCGGATTCCAGCGTTAGTCTCAGCTAACGTTTGGCGAACGATCTGCATTTCGATCGCTGTCCTCTTGTCGCTTGCCGTTCCGATCCCCTCCTTCGAGAGGTGATCGTAGAGTGACTTCGCATCTACGACTGCCAGTCCTTTCTTCAAATTTTCATCACTCTGCTGACTTACTAGGGTGCCCAGCCGTTGGGATTGCAAATGACGCTCCCAATCCTTCATGCTGAAGCCTCTGGTGGTGAACTCATTGAACACCGTGACAGTCCATGACAATTCGGAGGTTCCACGAGAGAGCGCTTGAGTTTCTGCTGCCAACGTCGAGTTCACAATGCGGTGTATCTTACCGCTCCTCCAGTGAAGCAAGTTGCACCTACCGTAGCCATCGGTCAGGACCGACTGGTCCACAGCCACCACTGCGAAAGCTCCCTGAGAACGGCTCTTTGAAGCATTGGCGTAGCTGGCGTCCGTGTACACCGCCCATGAGAGTCGATCCATTGCAATGGGCTGGATGCGAATGTGCATCGCTGCCTCCTTCTTGACATTCCTGATGCACTTGTTAAGGTCCAGGATATGTTGGACCTGAAGTGTGGCCAGTTGAGATGCCACCAAACTGGCGGTGGCTGCGGCATCTGGTCTTCCTTCCTTTGCTGCCCAAGTGAGGCTGCCAACGGCAGCTCGAGTTGCATCCTTCTCCTCTCAGTTGGCTTGTTCATGTGGCCTTCCTGCTCTTCCCAACTCCAGCTTCACTTCCTGGAGACGCTCTGACACGAATTTCTCCATGTCGATTCTGAACTCACCATTCTTCAGCTGTCTGATGCGTCTTCCATTGAAGGCAGCTCCTTGAGGTTGCTCTTTGAGGGACACAAACTTCCCAAATTGGAACCTTTTTCTCAGCATGTCCATTTTCTGGTAGAAGAGCCTGTTGCCAACTCCAAAGAGATCATCCACCTCTACCACCAGAAGTCCGCAAAGTTGATCCCCATCAAACATCTTGTAGACACAGGGATCTAGTGCAGACTGTTGAAATCCCAGCTGAAAAAGGACTCGTTTGAGACTCTTGCGCCAATGAGCTGGTGCGTCTCCCAAACCATAAACTCCGGCAATGACTTCAATCAACTGGTTTGGTTGCAGTCCTGGTAATCCTCCTCTAGGCTGTCGACAGAAAAGCCGTCCTTCCTTTCGTTGAAGCCGGTCGGACTGCATGAACGCATTCCTCAAGTCCCCCACTGCTGCGTCCCAGTTCATGCTGGCTCCAATCTGAAGCACCACCGACAACGTTGATGTGGTGATGGTTGGTGCGTGCCTGGCTAATTCCAGCAGATCTGGATCTTGATCTCCTCGAATGCACCATCGACTCTTTCTGGATGGAGGTTCTCCTGGCTGCTCTGCTGGTTTCCAGCGTCTAACCATCCTCGAAGGAAGAATTCTTGCTTTTAGACCTGCTTCTTCAAGTTGGCTCTCCACATTTGTGGACTCTTCGGGACTCAGCACCTCCACTGCTCCTGTGGCGTGGACTTTGCTCCACTCCGAGCCATCAGCCACTCTCCATTTCTCCCATTCTTCAGGAGATATGTCCTCCTCCTTCACCTCATCCGAGCCCCTCTTCACCATCAGACTTACTTCCTTGGGCACCTTGCGAAGTTTGAACTCTGTGTACCCCGTCCACCATCTTGATGGCTCTCTGGGCTTCTTCATGCCAATCTCCTGCCTCCAGTTGCCATCTTCAACCTGCATGATGCCTTCTGAGTTGATCTTCACTGTTCTTCTTTTGGAACCCAAGCATTTCATTGGGATTGGACATCCCCTGGCATTGCTTGGGGTGAACTTGACTGCCCGTTCGTTCACATGATGTCGGATCACCGACTGCCTCTTCTCATCATACACCCACAGGTCTTCCTCTCTGCCTGCGGTTTCTTCATCCTCCTCTCCTTCAGCTGCCACTGTTGCTCCACCTTGGTATGGAGACCATCTTGCTCCCAGATGTCTTCGATTGGTACCATACAGCTCTTGAGCGCTTCTTCCATGGAGTGTTCCAGCTGTTCGCAGCTGCGGTTGGAGTTCACTGCTTGACTGATCACCTCCTCTGGGACTATCTCTGGGCCTGGACTCTCTCCTTCTCCTTCACCGGGCTCTTGAGCAGGTTCCGAAGAATCAACCACTCACGATATGCTTGATGGGCTGGCGATCACGTCGCCATCCTCCTGTGGAGGTGGAGCAGGTTCTTCAATCCTTCGGACTTGTCTTGGAGGTTCTTCGTCTTCTTCTAGCCAGGGAGGGTGCGGCCAACTAGTGACATCCTTGAAGCCTCTCTTGCTTTCCTTCCTGACCATGCTTCTTTGAAGCTCTTCAAACTCCCCTTGTAGGAGATCCTTTGCCTCTGCTTCTTCGGAGGTCGCTTTCCTTAGTTGTTCCTTGGCGCACTTCCAGAGCTCTCCTCGAATGGAAAGCCATGCGTTGGCTCCTTCCGTCATGACGATTGTTCCTGGGCCTACCCAGGTAGCTCGCCTTCCTTCCTTGTCTTCCAGGCTGTCATCGTGCTTGGCCCTCCTTCTTTGAAGCGGCGCCCGGTACACGTATACGATGTCTCCAGGCTGGAAGTGCTGAGTGACTCTTCCTCTTGCATGAGTGGCCTTCTGGAGTGCGACGTTGGTGGTGTGTTTGATGAACGCCTGCATGGCCAAATGCCGCATTTCAAGAAGTCGTTGTATTCCACCTCCTGCAGCTCCTAGCATGAGAGCTGGGTCGCATGGGTCATCTGAGCCCAGGCTTCCGGGCAGCCGGATGTTGTGTCCTAGCTGTCGCTGAGCTGGACTGAAGCCACTTCTGTTAAACATCCGATTCTTCGCTGCCTCGAGAACATGTATGCACTGCTTCCATTCATCTTCTGAGGTGGGTAGTGCATCTTCTCTCAATTTGACGAAAATCTCTTTGGCCAGTCCTCCATGCCTCTCTGTTCGCCCCTGTTGCCATGGAGCGCGAGCACCAATCACTTTCATCACTGCTCCCATCTCATTGATCTTCTCGGTGAAGTCTTTGCCGAATTCACGTCCTTGATCTACCACGATGCATTCAGGCATTCCGAAGACTCGGACCCATGTGCTGTGGAAGGTGTTCCACACATGCTCTGACTGCATAGATTGCAGGGGTTCCAGCATCTGGTAGCCTGTTGCCCAGTCCACCATGTTGAGCACTGGCTTCACGCTCCTGACATCCAATCCAGGGAAATAGACAACATCAATCCCGATAGTGCGAGCAGGCTCAAAGTTCTTGGGCAGCATGGCAGGGCGAGCACTTCGTGGTCGAGGATGTTGTTCACACGCCTCGCAGCGGAATTCGTCCTTGACATACTTCCATACTGCACTCCTTGCTCTGGCCATTCTCAAAGCTCTACAGAAGTCCATGGTCTGAGGATGTCCTAGATTGTTGTGCAGCTTTTGGACAAGTCTCTTCTCCTCCTTGGAGATTTGTTGACTTCCCGTCTCCTCCTCCTCCTCCTCCTCATGAGCCTTTTCTTCTTCTGACCTCCTCAGGCGTTCCTGACGTCTGGATTTGTCGGCTTCAAGCCGCTCATAGTGGTCATCTAAGGCCTGCTCCACTTCATCTCCTGGTGGAGCGTCCTCCTGCTCCATGGCGTAGGTGCATTGGCCCTCCACCTCTTTGATGGCTCCTTGAATCATTGCCCTGCACAATCCTTTGGGATACTTCTGGGCGAACTTGGCAATGCCTCCAATGAGGGCTTGGTGTTCATGGTGTCCTTGACATCTTTTAGATAGTGCCCCAGCCAGGTGTTTGCCATTGACCATGAAGTCGGTAGGCTTCTTATTGGGGAGACCCTTCACTGCCAAGCCATGCCCGAACTCGTTGCACTCCTGGAAACCGTAGCACCCGTTGCACCACCTCCTCTTGCCAGGCTCTTGATGTAGCCGGATGTTCAAAGATGGCCCACTTGCCCCGTCGAATTTGCCACTCATATAGTTTCATTCCATAGGCTAGGTGTTCTTTGCCCTCCGCCAGTCGAAGTTTCCAGGTGGATTCTGAGGTTCTTCCCCTATTCAACTCTTGCAGCAATGAGAACGGAGAGCATGGCGGACATATGATCAGAACATCCGGATCGGCCTGCCTCAGCTCTTTCATGCACTTCATGCGATCCACAGAACTGGACAGATCATACCCAGTTTGAAGATCGTAGGATCCGCCCGAGCGATGGCCCAATTCCTCAGCCATTGCCGCCACCCTGGGCGGTGAAAAGACCTCTGCCACGGTCAAGGCCTTCATGTTCTTCACAACTGCTTTCTTGGATGCTTTGGAGAGGGCACGGTCCTGACCAGGCTCATAGTGATCCTCCTCCCAAGTTCCATTCGCAAATAGGCCGATTGCCTTGAGGTCATTGGCTGTCTCGGACAAAATGCCAGAGTAATAGTGCCAACTCTTGTGATCTTCTGACTCACTCCAGTAACCCTGGAGCACCCTTTTCTCATGCTCTGCCACATCTTCATCTTCCAGTTGAAGCTTCGCCCACAGATTTCGTTGAGAGGAGTTCTCCAGCAAGCATACCCGAGGGGCATTGTACTGTAGCCACTGGTGCATCTTCTCTTGTGGAACTCCCCCTGGAATCTCCGGGCTCACATCATAGTCCAGCTCTCGCTGGACTCCATTGTTCCCTCCGTTTGAGCTCCACTTGGCTGTGCTCCCATCGTCTGTTGACTTGCCTGTTGCTGAAGCATCTGGCGGTATGTCATCGCCCTCATTGCTGCCTCTTGCTGCATGGCGGGATCCTGAAGAGCTTGCTCCAGTCGTTCTTCTCCCACCAGAGCCGTCATCCAAAGCAGCTGGTTCTGCATGATCTCTTTCTCCCTCTCGTGCTGGATGTGTTGATCCAGCATCAGGGCATGATGTCTCTCCTGAGCCACCTCCATCGTCTTCTGAATTGCTTCTTCTTTCTCCTTCCTCAAACTCGAACTGTTCTGCCTTCTCTTCCTCGTCCTTCTTCATCAGAGCCTCTTGCATCCGGCGAGTCTCCACCGGATCCCACTCGAAGTAGTCGCACACCCGGCGTGCACACTTCCAGAACAATCTGCCTTGAGTGGGGCCTGATTTCTTCACTTGCAGTTGAGTTGCTGGCTCTCCACATCGGCACTTCATTGCCGTTGGTTGAGGCTTCACTGGAGTGGCCGTGAGGCTGTTTGGTGGACTCTCCAACGAGCTCATGGCTGGCAACGATGGCATGACTGGAGTCCTCAATGCCGGTGAGAACGTCTGGGATGCCGGAGACTGTGTTGGGGTTCGGAAGTCGTGTGCCGATGGTGCACTCCTGGGTGGAGTGGCTGGCATGACGTTTGGTTGCGTCATCCATGGCATGGTGCACTTGCCGGGATGCATCTGGAAGGTCTTCCCGTTGACTGTGATCACTGGACTCTTGGACTGGATCTGGTTCATGATCACTGGGTCCACCAACCACCTTGCATGGCATCTCCGACACCATACCTCTCAGTGAACTCCAATGGAGTGACCTTCTTGAAACATTGACCCAAAGTCACATGGTAGTCATGGTCTTTTGGAACCTCCTCTTCAATCTCAAAGAAACCGGCTTTGGGGGAAGTGGTACCCGTTGACGAAGCTGCTGGCCGACTTTTTCCTCGAGCATCTGGTTCATTTTGGCACTCACGTGCCCAGTGGCCGACTTGGCCACATCTTGCACATTTGGTGCGCAGCTTCAACAAGTCTACGTGGACTTTCGTCCCCTTGCTGGTGAACTTGAAGGAAGTCTTGTTCTTCCCAATGGACTTCCCGAAGCCTTTCCCTGACGATGAGCTGCCAGGTGCATAGTAGCCCCTTCCAGTCTTCTGCTCTTGGATGGCCTTTCTGACCTGCTGGTACGTGGCAAGGGCTTCCTGAATTTCGGCTTCTTCATACACATGATTCAAAACGGTCTTCACCCACATAGACATAGTCCCCGCTGCTGTCGCTGCCCCCCTCCATGGACTCGTTGAGGAGGGTCTCATCTTCTGCAGTGAGGTAGCGGGCTCCCGGACGATCTTTTTGCACTTTCTCCAACTTTCTCAAGGCCTTGATGACCTCAGGCTTCTCAAATCGTCCCTGCGTCCAGGTGGTGATCTGATCTTCTTGCACCTGTGACAAATTGCTTTGCCTGTACAGGATGTAGCCCTTCACTTCATCAGCAGGCTTAATCCCCTCCTCCTGCAGCTCACGAAATGCAGTTTCCTGACGGAGGATGAACTCGCCGATGCTCTCCTTGCCCCGCCTGGGGTCCCCGTACACTGCCTTCTCGAAGGCCTTGGGCATGGTCTGCTCAAGGTGAGGCTGGAAGTGTTCCTTCAACTTGGCCACTATGTGTTCTACCCCCTGCTCTGACGTGATCTGCTCCACACTAAGCTCGTTGCATACGGCTTTTGCCGTGCCAGAAAGCATGCGCAGAACTTTCACTCCGTGCTTCTTCACTGGGACGTCGGTGTCATGACGCCAAAGCTTGAGATCTCTCTCAAACTGCTTGTAGAGGTCCACATCGCCATTGAAGGCGGGAGGTGGATCGCGATCTTTCCAGACCGCACTCTCGGATGCGGCCCCATTGCTCATGGTTTCGGAACCCATCTACCGGGCTCCGCTACCACTGTGTATTGCACACAGTGGCAGGGAGAACAAACGGTTCGCGCCCCTTTTCATCAGGCGCTAATGCCCCTCGAGTCGCTAGACATCGGTCGAACCACCAGCACATTCCGACAGTGAACAACTGCAGCCAATGGAACTTCATTTCACAGTTACACTTCATCCTTTTCTCACTGGCAGCATGCGCTTCCTTTTTGGCGCCCACATAGGTCCAGTGACAATTGCGTTTGGCAAAAAGTGCATTCAGTGGTGTTTCAAAAAATGGGCGCACAACCCATCAGCGAACACATATAGTGTTCCTTGTCAACAAAGTCTTCATTAGCAAAGTGCACAAAGCGATGTATTCAATACAATGTCCAACATTTATTATAGTTTTTGTACAACCAATAGTAAACCAAACTTTTGGAATCCAACAGTTTAAGCTAGTTTTACTGACTAGTTTTACTGACTAGTTTTACTGACTAAACTTTTGGAATCCAAAAGTTTGTGTTTTGTCTTGTTGATCACTATGCAACTGTTCAATGATAATTTTTATGTTTACATCAACTGTGTAGAATTGATCATCATGTTTTTTTTATCAAGCTCAATGCGCACAACTGCAGGAAACATACCTCTTATAGAGTGGGTGGCTACCTTTTTTTGAAATGTTCTTGTGTCATCTTTGTGGCAGCCCCAGAGTATACCATGTTTTCTTTGGAGTGGTCAAACCACACCAACCCACACTCAACACATGACTGCGCTGGGCATGAACTCACTTCCATGCTGGACAGCCTGCCAGCCACAACGATACACAATTCACTCGTGAACATATTCACAAATAACTAAGATTGGTCATAGACCTGAAATCATAGATAACAACAATGGCATGGGTATATGACATGGTGCATATTACATGACATGGGTATATGACATGGACATGACAGCTGTTTCACACATACTCGAAGCGATCATCAGCGCCAGTGTCCCTCATGAGTCTGTAGTGATACAGAAGCATGCTCTCAAAGGTTCTGTTCCTACCAAGGATCTCCCTAATCTTTGCTACCCTCTCACCCAAGCCAAGACCCATTGCCACACAGTGCAACCAGCTTTGCAAAGTAGCCAGTCTTCTTGACAGCTGAAAGCACAGGCTCATGAGGAGGAAAAACTGAGCCTTGGTGGATGAGCCTTGGCTTTGGTACCTGTTCAGTATCAGCACTCATTGGAGCACTCACTGGATCATAGCTGCTTCTGTCTCAAGCCCTGCAAATGTGTCCACAAGAGTGTTTTGTAGATAGTTAAGCTGACTTTGGCTGACTCACAGTAGCTACTTACACACATGTCCACCGCTGGAAATGAGCTGTTCCAAGGGGAGCAAACATCCAAATCCTAGATCATGCAAATGATGCCAAGAGCATCCCAGTCGATCTCACGATCAAGAAGAACAGATTCATCATGGACCCTGTCACTCAGGAAATGGACATTGTAAGCGCTGCTCCACCAAATATAGGCAGCGCACCTGGGAGAATGCATCCACTGTCCATCCTCTTGACTCTTCCACACTTTTCCCCCGAGTGATCCAATCTTACGGTAAATGCCAACCTATGCTTCCAGAAGAGCATCAGGGAACTGGAGCATAGGGTCCTTCAAAACTCTTTGAAACCCCTGGCTCAGGGTTTGAGGCATTACTCAGGTCAATGGTCACAGGGATCAATCGATGGAACCTTTTGGCGTGACAATTCCAAGCATTTATGCCAAACCGTCCTCTGTTTGATGGGTGCGCCGCGGACAACTCCGGTGGCAACCCTTGCCTGTACGCCAACCCATTTGACAGGAGTATTTGCTCAATTTGTGCCAGCAGAGCAAAACACAAATGCTACTTCAAACTCTGGTTTGCGCAAGAAACGGTGCAATAAATGCGTTGGCATGTCACACACGCATGCGTGTCACATGCAACTTACAATGCAATAACCATGAGGGTTTGGTGGGTATAGCAATGAAACCATGTGAAATCTCATGGACACATTGTTTGTTTGCAAAGCAATCTCAAATGATAGAAAATTGTCACAGCCACCAGGCCTGTAGAAGTACATGAACCTCACAAGTGTATAACAAGCCATGATATGACGTGAGCAGTCTTGCAGCAAACACTCAAGGCCTTTTCTTGGTCCATGAATGTTTGAAAGGCGTGACGTGTTTGTAAGTGGTATATCAGCCAGCTGGGCTTGTTAAATACCACATGACAAGCGCTTGCAGATGTATATTCTCAACGCTGCATGATGCACACGGGCCCCCACAACATGGACATGCATGTCAAAAGGCATTGCTGAAGCCTTAGTAAGGCCAGAGAGAAACACACAACAATGACCAAACAACTGCCCAACATGCATGTCCGTGTATGAAAACATGGACCCATGGCTCAAGGCATGATGATTTTCACATAGATATCATACAGCAGCGCTCACCTTCAATCCATGTACAACAACTCCAAGATATGTACAATCACAGCAGCTTGAAACCTGGTGAAGCCCAGTTATTTTCCAATCCTCTGACAATCATGATCCTGAACATTGTTGCAAACTGTTTCCCACGCTAACTTTTACATACTTTCATGGTGAGTCAAAAATTGAAATTCAAAACACTCCTATAAAACACCTTTCTTCCTAAAGGTTTTCATATTTGGCTGAAAGCCACCATGTACCATGCCAGAAATCAATGCTAAAGCGAGGTTCTCCTTGCGCCACCGCTGAAATTTCATTTGTGGTGGGAAGAGGACAAGAAATGCTTCCATTGCTCAAGGGCCAATAGTCCAAGCTGGCAGAAACCACATCTGCACTGCCCATGGCTGAATCGATGAAAAAATGCCAAGGTCAAAGGCAGTTACCACGCAAACTTCGAGCACGAATCTCTCACATGAACATGAAAATTCACACAAGTCAGCCCACGCATGTCAATCCACACATGTCCATGACAACATTCACATGTCAATGGCTTCCACTCATGAATGGGAACCTTGCGTGCATCTTGCCAACGCCCTCTGGCTTGGTGAACTTACAAGCAAACCACACATGAACATGACAAATCACAACTAGCATGGATGCTGTAGATACAGGGTAAAGCCACCAGGCTTGGACATGACATGGCATGAACCCTGAGAATTAATGAACATACCACAGTGAAATTTCAAAAATACTATGTTTACAAAGTGTTTTTCGCAAAGCAACTCATATGCAAATACATAGTAGCTCAAATTAAAACCAATAATATGCGGCGTTGAGACTTGGTGACAGAAAAGTCATTGGGGCACTACTACATGCTTCAGAGACTGGAGAGCTTATAAAGTTTATAGAGGTTAGCCTCAAACCTAGAAGTAGTTAGAGGGGTGATAAACCATCACTAGAAGTTGCAACATACTTACTAGAAAGTATAACTTACTTACAAGAACTTATCTAACCATTTATAACTCTTCTAACCACTAACATCTTGGCGGTGTGGGTGTTGTCCGACCCGGTGATGTGGTGTGTTGTGGCCATGTCTCATGGGATGATGTGTGCTTCTTAACGACTTGACCGTTCTGTGGTAAGGTGTGGCCAACAGGCATTGCTCTGTCGTGAGCGTATCTGGGGTGCCCCGACTTGTTTTTTTGTCAATATATAATTTGACGGCGCTGCTCCGCCTCAAGTTGTGGTCATGTGATTCCACGTGTAAACCTGTCGCCAAAGCGCGCTTTATTGAAGGTATGCTGACGTCCGCGTTTACAGGGCAAGGGTTCGACCTGGCAGTTGCAGACGATCGAATTGATTTTTCATTTCACTACAAAAGGCACCGCCCCTGTGTTTAGCGTCCACTCTTTCCCCATGCAGGTCTGTATCTACGCAATGTACCCAGCTAGACATCTCAGTTTGATCTGTGGTGTTTTCCGGTTTTGAACTTGTACAAATAAATGTAAATATAAATATAAACATATATATATAATATATATATTATAGCGATTGACTATCTGGCCATCCGCAGGATGTGGTTCGTCGCGTAGTGTCTGGTGAGATGCGGCCCACGAGCGATGGACCGCGGGGACAACTTGGCGCTGTGCTGCAGCCCGGCTTGGCTCGGCGTGGCGGACACGCAGGTGAGACCTTCCTACCGCGCAAGGTCGAGGCGTTTTGTGATGCGCCTATATGCACGGAGGGCGCCCGCGATTCATCAGGGGGACGCGAGAGTTGTTGCACATGTGCATCGCACCAGAGGTCAGTGTGCCGGAGCCAATTGAACAAGTAGTTGTCAAAGATGTGGCGGCCAAGGTGGCACTTGGGCACAAAAGGTCGCCAGATGGCCCACCTTATTGAAAAAGAACTTTGTCTGGCAGGAGACGACCTCACTCAGGGAGATCGTCAAGAGTCAAGACCGCTGGTTTGCCGGCGGCGGGGATGATTCGAGTGCGCGAAGACTCGGAGCAATGCTGCCGCTTGACTGCAAAAGCAACCTATACCATGTGCGCAGCGCAACCTGCTGAGTTCACACAGGCATTGTTGGAAGCGCGCTGTAGGAGCTTTCCAGCAACTGTGTTCATGGCTTTCAGACTTCTTTAAGGGCGAGGTTCTGGAGGAAAACAATGCGCAGGCGAGACTCACTCGCGATGGCGCCGTGTCTGGAAGGATCAGGATGTGAGTGATTTCCCCTCAGTGACGACGTGGCCGCCATATGCGGAAAGTTGAGGATAAGAAGGAGGCGGTGCGCTTATCAGGCTTATCATCAGTGCTATATGACATCGCGACGGAGCATTTTGCGCGTCAAGCGCCGCCCAGCGACGCATTGAAACGAAAGTTCACCAATGCGCGTCTGACTGCTGGTCTCGCTGATATTTAAGTGCGTGATTAGACATATGCCAACATGTGACTTGGAACCGGCCGCGCGTAGAAGACCCCGATGATCCCAAGAGCTCTTAGATCGGAGATGGTGAATGACCTTAATATCCACCAAAACACTGCAAGTCCAAG